CTTAGCGTACAAATACGTGTGATCCTTAAGCAAGAGACACCTAGTACGCCGGGCATTCTAGAGGGTACATTGGGCGTACTAGGCACAGTGTGGAAACCCTAATATTTTAAGTAACCTTATATAAGGAATGAGATGGCGTCATTCTTGACTACCTTTCTCAGACAACAAACCCCCCAAAACCCTAAACCTTCGTCCATAAGAGCTTGTGAGTGCATGAGAGCCTTTGAGGTGACCTTGTAAGTCCTTGGAAGTGAAGAAGGAGCATTGAAGGGAAAGGAGTTGGAGTCTAGGCTTTGGATCTATGCTTTTATGGGGATGGAGCATCATTTGAAGGTATAAAATTCAAATCTTTCATATTCCTTTTTGAGTTGTGCATAGTATGGTTCATTTTAGGGTTTTTGGTCCCAAAGCTTGAAGCTTTATGAGTTTTTAAACTCTAGAGCCCATTCTCTATCCTTTTGAGTGTTTTTGATGGAGTAGCTTCATAAAAAGAGAGATCTTGGATGTTAGAATCAAGTCATGCATGAGATAAGAGCTTAATGAGAAAAGAGAATGAGTGTTTTGTATGTTTGTGACCTCATCATCCATGCAAAGGCTTCAAGTCCCTGACTTTATGGAGTAAGAGCTATTAGGAAGTCCAGATCTAAGAAATGAGCTAAGATCTTAACGGGTTAAGACCAATAAAATGGACTAAGCAAAACTAAGCATACGCCCAGTGTAATTCCAGTACGTAGGTACTTATACGTTTATATAACCAAAGTTATATTTAAAAGCATGTAGGTACTTATACGTTTATATAACCAAAGTTATATTTAAAATCATACTTTTTAGTCAGATTATTTTAGCCCCATTTTATTTTTAGTTGTATATCGTATGTGGTTTGATATACTTAGTTCACTATAAACAATGCCCTTATACCAATCTGTCACATCCCCAAACCAGAATGGCGGAAACGTATGAGGGTGGATGACTTCATGAACAGTATCACACCAAATTGAATAATAGTGATCAAAGTAACACAACCATCAAAATTATAATTGGGAAAATTACAGTGTATCCAAATATTGTTTGTTTCAATACCAATTACATTATGACAAAAGTAAATAGTGTGACACCGTAGCATTCTATCCTCAAAATCTTGTGGTTACGTGCTTAACGATTTCCTGAGAATACAAGTAGTTTTGAAAAAGTGTCAACAATTAAGTTGGTGAGTTCATAAGAGTTTGTATGCGAAAAATCTGTAACTTTTCCTTGTAAAATGATAGTGTATGTTTCCAGAAAATCCAATATTTTCTTAAAAATGAATTGTAGTCTTACAACCCTAAGACCAAAAATATATAAGTATTGATGTACTTGAAAATAGTGTTATATAGTTTTATTATTATATAAAACCATTTGAATGTATGTTAGCCTCGTAAACCAAATGTATTATTAATACCTCATGTGAATTATTATAACCATGCTAAACTAGTTGACCTGTTAGGACGTTCTTCAGGCGTCGGAATGTTAGACAATTGTCACCCCATACATGCCGGTCTAGCAGTAGCTAACAGCTTAAGTGCGGGATTGTCAGTCCGATATAGATTTATACACAAGTGTCACGCTCTCTTCCCGAGATTCTGGTTATAGTACAGGACTTTTGTAGGTACTCTGGTAGGTACGGTGAAGACTATGTCTCACAAAATTGTATCAACATGTTTATGTATAGTGTAATGAAAATCATTTTTTAAGTGGAAGTATTACATTTCCATAGTGATTACATAGTGTAAAATAATTATACCTTTAAATAATTATCTGTTCGCCCCAAAATTGTAAAATAGTGTTAATAACTCATAAACTACACTCATTGTAAAAGTTAGTATGTTTAGATGTTTTAAAAGATTATAGCATATAATTTTACATCTAACACGAGTATAAAAACATTTAGTATGATAAAGACAACTTTTCTAGTTTTCGGCCGTTTTTAATGTCACTAACCGGTAAAAAAAAAATTAGTTGTAAACTTTGTAAAATTTATTTTTACATTTTTCTATCCATGTTTTTAGAAAAATCATTGTAAGTCGAAATTTGGATCAGTAAACACTTAGAGCTTAGAAAATGAGTCTACTTTGTCCATAATTTTTATCTTGGCCTTAAGTGGTTCCTAACCAGAGTGAAAATGTTCATTTTCACAGACTAGTCCGAAAATGTTCTGAAATGATAGGCAGATTTATAAAAAAAATCACCATAAATTGTAGAAAAATCGTTTGAACACATGCGAGTAATCCTTAAAAATGTATAGACCTGAACTATTTGGATATTATACATTGGTCAAATTTTGTTGGAAAGGGTGAGACAAATTATGGCAAAGTGAACTCTTGTATTTATTATTTTTCTTTTTCTTTTTTTAAAGGTTGGCAGTTTTCTATAAAATGGATGTTAATTTTATAAAAAAATGTGATAAAATAATGTCAAATTACGACATTTTATATCATAAAATTTTCAAATTATCACAAAACATAATATCATCAAAAATATTTGCACATGGTTTCATGAATATTATTTATACCAAAATAATACATACTTAAATTATCGAATTTTCGCATTGTTACTCCTAAGTAGGATTGTTGTTCAATGATTGATGAAAAACGACGTCCTTTGTATTAATATTTGTAAGTTGTACATTAGGAACATTAGGAACATGGTGCTTATCCTAAAATCTTATTACTAGTCGAGTTGACTTGGTTGAATTATTAACTTTATTTGATCCAGAGTTGACAGTTGTCACACAATCCAATCAAGTCGAATTCGAACTTCAATTTGTTTGTTGTTGCACAAACCAGATTGTTCAAGCTCGATTGTGGGTCACAAGCTTTTAGGGAAATCAATGATATAAGTGGTGGTGTTGACGAATGTAAGGATGCAATTCAGGATCGAAAAAGGGGTAGTACTCATTAGTCGATAGTTACAAATGAACAAAGGGGTGAAGGGTCCAACGTCGGAAAAATAGGAGGGATAGGAAATCGTTGTAGATGTGATTAAGGGGAATAGGGTTTTTTGGTGATTAAAAGGGGGAGATATTAGGTTCAACATCAATGTCACTAGCATGATTACAGGGAGTATTTGTGGAAGTTATTTATCAAATTACTTAATTACTATTATTTATTTATTTAGATGTTTATTTATTGTTTAAATTTTGATTAGTCCGCAATTTACCCTATATCCACATAATAAATAGTTAGAATACATGAATCTCTCTCTCTCTCTCTCTCTCTCTATATATATATATATATATATATATATATATATATATATATATATATATATATATATATATATATATATATATATATATATATATACACATTAAATTTACAGTGTTAGTGTTTGAGCTGCGAAATTACCATCCCTCTTCTAAATCATATGAATTTGTCGTAAAAAAACATTTTTTAAGCTTTTTATTTAATAAAAATAAGCCATTTTAACTAATAGAAATAATCTTATTTCGAAATCCATAGGTCGGTTTATCGGTCTTCATGTTATTTTCAGAATTTAACATATTTTCATTAAATTTTAACTTGAACCAAATTTACTTTTTTTTTCTTGATACAACAAATAAATTAGACTACACCTAAATTATTCTATCTATGTTCATTGCGAGACTTGAACTCTCAATCTCAATGAGGAAGACATCACCGGATATCGTTGGCATAAAAGCCCTTTGGTCAAATTTACTTTTTAGAGGGTGTTTGAGATTTCATCTAAAAACTCCTTTTTAACTTATTGATTTTTTGAAAAGTCAATAAATTAAAAAAAGGGAAAATGACTTAAGAGATCATCGAAGTTTCAAATTCGTTCGAAAAAAACCATTCAAGTATCACATGTTCAAAAAACACCATCAAACTAAGACATATGTTCAAAAAACACCAACGAAGTACATGTTCTGTTCAAAAAACACCATCTTTATGGTTTGTGGTAACTTACATATTTAGTCCCTAACTTTTTTTCCTTAACTCGGACAGTCCCTTTAGTTTAAATTTGTTTCGACTTCGGACCCTGATCGACTTAAAAGACTAATATACATTTATTACTTTCATTTAATATTATTTTTATTATTTATTAATTATTTATACAATTTATGTTATTATTTATTATAAATATATCAATTGTAAAAATAATTAACAAGTAATAAAATAAATGTTAAATGAAACTAATAAGGGTATATTAGTCTTTTAACTCGATCATGGTCCGAATGAAAAATAAATATAAACGCTAGGGACTGTCCGAGTTAAAAAAAAAAGTTAGGGACTAAACCTGTAAGTTACTCCAAACCATAAAGATGATGTTTTTTGAAAAAAATATGTACTTCGTTGGTGTTTTTTGAACATATATCTTAGTTTGATGATATTTTTTGAACATGTGATACTTGAATGGTGTTTTTTGAACAAATTTGAAACTTCAATGGTTTATTAAATCATTATCCCTTAAAAAAAATGTTTGGATATTTAATAAAGACTTTTAGAACAACTTTTTGGTTTAGCCTTTGAAAAGGAGTTTTAAAGAAGTTATAATTTGTAACTTCGGAATCATTTTATGAGTTATAAAAAAAAAAAAAAAAAAAAAGTTAATAAGCTTTTTTTAACTTATTGATTTATTGATTTTTATCATTAAAATTTTAGTCCAAAACACTTTTTTAAAATTTTCTTTTTCCACATTCATGTATGATTAAACTTATCATTAAGTTCTTTCTAAACATAAGCCATTTTTATCTTTAAAATGAAATCTAAACACCCTCTAAGATTTGGAACTGATTGGCGGGGCTTTTTTAGTGGTTTAATGTTTATGGATAAACATTAACTGCTTTGAAACCTCCGGAAACTGAAAGCCATTCAATGAGACGAGGAGGTACCTGGTGAGTGGGTGGACCATTTCGTTATCTTCCACTAAAATTGTCTCTTCTTTCTGAATTTTCTCAGCCACAATTCTTACAATCTCCAAATCCATTTATATATTCCAATCAAATGTCTAATCTTCTTCAACGATTCATCGATCAAATGGAAGATTCAACTACCCCAAAAGAAACTGATTCATCCAACAATTTCTTCAATTTCCTCAGCTCTGATTTAACCGAACTCATCTTAGCTCGCCTCCCAGTTCGTTCAATCATCCGTTGCTCCGTCGTCTGCAAGCTATGGCACTCGATCGTCACCGCCCCGTTGTTCTCCGCCTCCGCTGCAGCACCCCCCTGGTTCTTCCTCTACGGCCAAAACAACATTTTCGTGAAAAACAATCAAGCGTTCGCATTCGACCCTGATTCGAACGAGTGGATCAAGCTCCCCACAACTCTGTTTCCCGTTTCAATTTCGCAGGAATCATCCTTCATCGGTTCCGGTGGGTTTTTCTTCAACACCACTGCTAATAATTTCAGTTTTGCCCCAATTTTGATACCCTCATGGCGAGAAACAACACCTCTGAAATTCTCCCGTTTAAACCCTCTGGTAGGTGTTATCAGTTCTGAGTTTTCATCGAATTCGAATCAAAACAATCGGTATGAACAGAATTTGACTTTGCCCAAGATTATTGTTGTGGGTGGTGTTAGATTCATTGGTGGTTTGGTTGATATTGAAGATAATTTAGCGGTTGAAATTTATAATCCAACTTTAGATTCGTGGGATCTTTGTCCACCGTTGCCGGCGGATTTCCGGTCAGGCAACTCTTCACAATCACTGTCTTCCGCTTTTCTCAGATCGAAATTCTACGTATTCGGTATACATTCATGTTTCATTTCATCCTTCGATTTAAACAATCGAGTTTGGAGTGAAGTTCAAACACTCCGCCCACCAGGTGTGATCACATCATTCCTAATATCTTGCCGGAATCAGCTTATGTTGGCCGGATTATGCAACAATCCTCATGGACCTTCGTTTAATCTATGGAGAATTGACGAATTAACAATGGAGTTTAGTGAAGTTGCGATTATGCCTCCTGATATGCTCAACTGTTTGTTTGATAGCGATGAAGATGATAGATTTGCCAGCTTGAAATGTGTTGGAGTTGGGAAATACATCTTTGTGTTTAACGAAGAACATCGCCGGAATTACCCTGCTTGTGTATGTGAAATCAGCTCTGATTCCAAGCAGTGTAGCTGGAGGAGGATCCCTGATTTGCCTGAACCGGTGAATAGGTTTCATAAAGTCATCAGTTTTTGCTCAACTATTTCACTTCGCTGGATTCTTGATGGTGAAGTTGCTTAGAATATATCTATATTTTATTTTTATTTTTAAGTTATATATGGGATAAAATAACTGAGTGGATAATAATGTTGTGTAAGCAATACTCAAAATAACTAAATAGCCATTAGCCAATAATTGTTGTTTAGTGTGTAAGGTGTTGTTTGTTTTTTTTAAGTTAAATGTCTGCAATCTCGGGATCACATCTGCAAGCCTTTGCGGTAGAAAAGTTGGACCAAATGTCTGCAGTCTGCAATAAGAAAACTGTTTGTTTTTAACGTCTACGGGCTGTTAAAATAAATTGAATTTTTAAACTTAATTTAATATCATAAACATTAAAAATGCATTTTTAACAAAAAAAAAAAGAAAGAAAAAAGAAACTGCACGGTGGCCCATATATATATATATATATATATATATATATATATATATATATATATATATATATATATATATATATATATATATATATATATATATATATATATATATATATATATATATATATATATATATTTGGTTTAGGTTAAAATGAGGTTGAAGACCTTTGAAGAGTGGTTCATGTCTGCGCCAGGAAGACCTTATGCAGATGTTTTCTGATCTGCGCACTTCCAAAAAACAATCAATCTGCGAGGGCATATGTCTGCGCGTTGTCTGTGCGGCGCAGACAAAAGTGGTTGCGCAGATCTTCACACAAAAAACAAACAGCCACTAAATGTGATAAATGCATGTTTCAATGCTTTTGGTCCAATCCGATGTTTGACAACCGTGATCATACAAATTTAACAAAATGCTAACCACGTTTCTTACTAAACCTAAAAAGCTGCAATTTTTTTGGAAGCGTTTAGAAGTTTTTAGCTTTTAGTTTTTGATAAAACGTTCTGGTTTAAACAAAAAGTTTCGTTTGGTAGTACAAGCGTTTAACTTTTAGTTTAAACAAAATGTTTCAAATCTAAATGCTACTTCATGTAGCGTTTAACAAAATGTTACTGAGCTTTTGAAATTAATTTTCATAATTACTCTTAAAAATATATTTATATATTTATTTATTTATTTTTAATCAACTGTCCTTTTATGTAATTTTATATATCTCAAAAGTTTTCAGCTTCTTTTGACAAACATTCATATAACAAATAAAAGTTACAGCTTCCTGCTACACTTATCCGCTACCCACTAGCAGTTACTTTTGTCAAACACATTCTAAGTCTCCAAGTGTAACGATTCAAAATCAGCAAAAAAGAACAATAAACAATAATCTAAGTGCAAATGAACACATGGACCTAAATATTTTGATACGGGTACTGAAATATGAAAACTATATCAAACATATATAAGGAAAGTGAGAATAATATTATATACTAATGTAATATTATCTAATAATTTTGTTTTGAGATATTTTATAACAAGTAGATCAAATATCACTAAAAACCAGTATAGTTGCAACATGATAAAAAAAAATAAGGAAAATCATATATATAAGGAAATTGAATATCTGTATAGTTGTAGTATGATAAAAAAAAATAAGGATAATATCATCAAAGCACTGAAATTTCATATTATTTTAATTAGCTATCTTAAATTATGTTTTTAACAATTCAGTTTAACTTTTGTTCTATTATAATCAAACTTTATTATTATTTCTTTCATTTCTATAAAACTTGACATCAAATTTTATGACATGTATTTCCAACTTGCATGGCGGATTTAAAGTATAATGATAATATGCAATGTAATAAGAATTTGCAGTTACACATTTTTGAATTTTTACGGTAAGTTGCAGAAAAAAAAATATTATAACTAATATTGTTAGAAATAGTGTTCAAGGTCATTAATTATTAGTAATATTTTAAAATAATAACAGAATTATTTTAGGTTGCTCTCAAGACACAAATGATGAATTAAAAGAAACAGACATAAGAAGAAAATAAGTTTATACATTTACTATGTTTAATAAATTAATCAGACGTTATTTTGGAATTAATCAGGAATTAATTAATTCTAAAGGGTGAATATTAATTAGTTAAAATATTGACTAATTGAAATATTCTTGAACCCTTAAAGGGTTAGAAGGATTTGAAATTCTCCATCCAATATATTGGAGGGAGAAGATTTTGAATTATATCTTCATCCTGCATGGGATGAGAGATAAAACTTAGCAAGAGCTTTGAGGTTATAAATAGGGTACTAGAGGTTTCATTCATTCTTGCACTTAGGTTTGAAATTTTGCCAACTTCATCCCATTCTTTCTATGGGACAAATTTCTTAACTCTTCCTAGGGTTTGAAGAAATTTGATCCTCCCCTAATTCTTTTGGTTCTCTATTTGGAGTTATTAGGTGTGATTCTATTAAGAGGATTCTACTTTTGTTCCTCTCATCCAAGAAGCATGGTTGGATCAAGAAGGGATAAGAAAGGTTTGAGAAGATCAAGATCAAACTACACAAGAGGTTAGTATATGTCTTTCTTAATAAATTTACAATTTTAAAATAGGTTGTTATAACTAGTAAAACCTAGATTCTATGGTGCAAGTACACTTAGGTAAATTTTGATTGCTTCTGTTGCCTTGTTAGAATGTATTGATGCTAGGGTGCACATACATTTAGGTAAATTTTCATTGTTTCTACTGTCTTGTTACAATGTATTGATGTGTAGAAAACCCAACAAACATTGCATATCCTCACCAAAATATTTCATACCGTGCAAATAAGTCGACGTGGCCTGTGAGGATAACATTAAGATGCACTGAACTTCTGTATCTTAAAAAAAAAATTGTATATTAGAAAAATCACATTTCTAGTTTTTGACCGGACAACTAGCCCTCATCTCACCAATCTTCTAAAAGATTGTGAAAAATCAAAGTTAATACCTAAAAAACCAAAACCCTTAATAAAACTTAATCCCGGGAAAACATCATGCAAACATTATTTGTCCTTCAAAAATATTGTACGGTCTAATGGTCCGCTTCACCAGAAGTTTCTCTTTCATCTCATCCTCTTTGTTAGACGCATGAGTATCAGGTCGTCTAGTCATTTGAGTGTCTTATCTAATATGCATAAATGGGTTGTCTATAGGTTTTCCATGCACAAAATGAGATGAAAAAAAATAAGACCCTTTTTTGTACCATATGATAGACCAAACACATAAGTAAATATTTTCTATCAATATCATATTTATCACCATTTGTCAAAGAAGTTCTAGATTAAAAACAATAGTTCGTCATCAAATAGAGAAAATACCCTAATCCATCACACAAAACCCCTAAAATAGATTCAAATATTTTATTTTCTCAAATCTAATTTTCAATTCAGTGAGAATCATAACGATAAAATAACCAATCCAAATATTTCTTAAGAACATTTGTGTTCTCTTTTAGTATTTGAAGTTTTATCAAACATTAGCCTATTAATATTGTATCTTAAAAGGATCATCGGGTGATGAAGATTCTAACAATTCTCGAGTGATTCGTGTGAGAATATTGTAATCAATTATTTAACAATTTTAAAAGTTATTGTTGTATATGGACAGTTTGACGAAGAATGACAATTGGGTGGTAAAGACAATTTGGTGGTGAGGGGCACTTTAGTGGCGAAGGTCCGGTGAAAATGATGAGGCTAAGAAAATAATAAAGTTGTGGTGATAGATAGTAGAGTAAGATAGTTATTGGTGGAGGTACTTTTTCGTTAATGTTATGCTATAAGTCATGAAAATAATAGCCTCATGTGTTCGGTTGTTGTATTGTATGCTTACGCAATTTCATGTAAGGATATATATCTTATGAATCATAAATAATGACTCATGTTTTGGTTTTTTTTAAGATAATGTTGGGTCAATTTATGTTTTTTCGAATATTTGTTTGTGTTTTATAAGTTTGTAATGAATGGTATAATTTGTGTTTTGAGGTTATGAAATTACAATAACTATCTTTTGTAATACATAATAAAGGTTTTAAAACATCTTTATTTACATACCATTGTGTTCATTTGTTTCTATGGACACTGTAGGTTTATGTATAGACAATTGTGTGTATGGTTTGAGTCCACCATATTAATCAAGTTTCAATTTCTTGGTTTCAGTAAATAACACATGATCATGCTTGTCTTCATTTGTAGATTTCTAAACAGTTTTCCTTTGGATTTGTGTTTGGATATGGTTTTTGTTTGAATTTAGACATTGGTGGTGGTACCGGACCAAAATGTTCTTAATCTTAAAAAGGGAAATAGATGTATTATATGAAAGAAAAAATACTCTCATGTACAAGGCACATGAGAGCTCTTAATGGTTCTATCTTAACGAATTCATTTGAATTTGTGGTTCGATCATCTTTGCAAAGTGGCCATACCAAAAACTACAGAGAAATTTCATCAAATGATCAAATGGAACGGGGTGTTTGAACATTTTAACAATGAAAAATGGAGTTTTGTAAAATGATCATGACTTCCGCAGAGAGGGCTCTACGTAAGCCTTAGAATTCAACCCTCACTGAGGAATTGAGGTTTTAGGGGTATTTTTGTAAATTCACAAAAAAACAGATTCTAATTGGGTTGTTGCGAAAGTCTGAATCAGTCGTATTATTTGTTATTTGATTTATAAATGTGTTATTGCATCCATTATATGGTCTTTAGAGTGTATCTTAGTTCAATTGATAAGAAACAGCTAGCAACTCCATATTTTTTCCATGGGTGCTGTGAAGAATAGTTCCTCAGAGTTATCTAACTGAAGAACAAATTCGCAGAGGACCTTTCTGCGGAACTATTGAGTCCTCTGTGAACCTGTAGAATTGATTCCCATTTCCTCGGAGAGATTAATGATCTGCAAAGACAACACCATTTCCGTAGAGCCGCTTATGTGAAAGTATGAAAAAGACATTTATTTTTCTTATCCCATATCACCTCAATTTATCATTGTTATTCACATTCCTCAGAAGGTTTCTGTAGAGGCTCCTCTGCCGAAGTCATGGTCATTCAACAAAACTCCTTTTTTCGTGGTTAAAATGTTCAACTTCAAATACCCTCTTTCCTTTGGTCATTTGTTAAAATTTCTCATTTATATTACTCTAATTTTATTATTTGTTACTTTTTATATATAAATCGGTTCAACCCGGGAAACCAAATCTCTTTGTAGCGGTTTTACAGGTACAATCAATATCAATATCAATATCAATATCAATATCAAACCAAAGGGCTTGTAGCCCAGCAGGTATCCGGTGTTGCCCTCCCTACTTGAGGTTGAGGGTTCAAGTCCCGTCGTGGACATAGGTGGATTTAAGGTGTAGTTTAGGAGTAGGTTAGATTTGTCGTTTCAAAAAAAATATCAATATCAATATCAATAAATATAAACCAAGATGAGTCGTTTCACCAGGATTTCATGCCTTAAATTGGTCAAACCGAAGCGTAAACCCAAATTCAAACCCAAGACTCGCAACCAGATCTTAATTCTACTATTACAGTCGCCTTAAATTGGTCAAACCGAAGCGTAAACCCAAATTCAAACCCAAGACTCGCAACCAGATCTTAATTCTACTATTACAGTCGTTTACCTTATGCCAAGGCAATGGGGTAGACAAGTCTATTCAGATGGAGCTTAACCTATTCATATAGAGAAAAGTCATAAAGGTATTTGGTCGAAATTGCATCAAGATTCATTCGCTTCCCCATCCCCACCTCCCTCCCTGTATGATAATTCATAATTTTCTGTATTTTTCTCGAGAGAAAAAGAGAGATGGAAACAAGTTGCAGAAAGAAAGAAGAAGATGGCTTTCATGTTCTTCATAAAGTTCCTTCTGGAGATGGTCCATATGTTAAAGCTAAATACACTCAGGTTCTTCTTCCCCGCATATATACTTTATAAATAAATCTGAAAAACACATTCATCGTAACTGTTAAATTATACAGATTCAACTCATTTTTGGAATCCTTTTGAGTTGTGATTTTTATTTCGAACGAGCAAAATTGAAGGATTGGATTTCGAAAATGATCAAATATCCCGCTGAATCTGAGGAAATTGATCCTCGGTTCATGAAAAATCGCTTGTTTGATATAGTACTCATGTACACTACGTATTTAAATTGTGTCGATCCCAACTATGCTCAATTAACTTGAAGAACCATTTTAATCAAACGATCAAATCATGTTGAGAGCTGAACTTGAGGAAAAGTCCATAGTATATGAAAAATAACTTATTCCATAATCACAGTTTTATCATGTTGAATACATTCTTAGCATTAATTTCCCGATTCGAGAATTGATTGTTTTGACCTTAGTTACATGGCTTTTAGCAATCCTTTTCCAGCCGATATTATTTTCTTTCGAATTGATAGATTGTTGCTTAGGGATCCCGACGTTTTTAACCAAGAATGATAACCTATAGTTAATTAATCAGGCGTTCAAATTTTTAATCTAAAACTATAAATCAAATGAAATTTGGAACCCTAACTATGGATTATAACAAAAATACAGAATGATAACCCATAGTTTTCAACTCAAGCATCGTATATATTTAAAAAGTTATAAATTACTTTTTGGTTTGAAAATATATAATGAAGTACAGCTGGTAGAAAAAGATCCAGAGGGGGCAATCGTATGGTTTTGGAAGGCGATAAATGGAGGAGATAGAGTGGATAGTGCATTAAAAGACATGGTTGTTGTTATGAAGCAGTTGGATAGAACTGAAGAAGCCATTGAAGCCATTAAGTCCTTCAGATGCATTTGCTCCAAACATTCGCAGCCATCTCTTGATAATCTCCTGATCGACTTATACAAGGTACTACGTACAACCTTTTCATGCACACAGTACCTACCTCCCATGCATTTGCAATTAAAATTTTAAACCCACACATGGCTCATTAACTATCTCTTCATACCTGGTCCCGCAATCAAGTGATAATTAATTAAGAAGAAAATAATTCATAGGTTGATTGATTTATTGAATGCTGATATATGTGAAAGAATTAATAAAATCTACTAACAGAAATGTGGTAGATTCGATGAAGAAATAGGGTTATTGAAGCAAAAGCTTAGGGTGATTTATAGAGGAGAAGCTTTTAATGGAAAACCTACAAAATCTGCTCGATCCCATGGCAAGAAATTTCAAGTCTCTATTAAACAAGAAACTGCAAAGATTCTGGTATATATTTCTTCTATCTTTAATGCTTTATTAGTTTTTTGTGGTTTATCCCTTAAAACCCCAGCCCTACTATTCTTATATATATATATATATATATATATATATATATATATATATATATATATATATATATATATATATATATATATATATATATATATATATACTAGCCGTAGACCCGCGCAAAGCGGCGGCGAAAAATAGTTTTTCATTCGGCAATAAGTTCTATACATAAACATGTTAGATTTCAAGTAACACAAAACATATGCATATTGTTATCGATCGGTTTTACAACAACAAATCAATGTAACCCTCGTAATACAAAAGAAAATAAATATTTTGGTGTGTAGTATACGTTTATAGTACTTCATTTTAGAAATTAGGACACATCCATACGAATTGACTTGCTTATACCTTTCTTTTCTCTAGCATCCATCACAAGAATTTTATTCATAATGTAATATTTTATACTTTTCTTTTTATATCTAAGCCTATATTTTAATACATTATTTCATGCACGATATTGACTTTCATAAAATAATAATTGGAGAAATACAAATATGAAGAAAAAAACAACAAAACTAACAAGTAATAACTAAATAAAGTAATGAATCAAATAATATGTATCTAACAAAAGGTATTATTGGAAAAATAATAAAAAAAGATAATAAATAACAACACCTTTCAATAAAATACAAACTTTAGATATGCCTTGCCTTGCTTGCGTCATCACTCCAACATAATTCGGCCTGACATTAGAGGGGGCAGTGATCCAATAGTCTCCATGGAGTATGGAGTTGAGGCTGGCCAACTTAGCCTCCTCAATGTCGTTTTCCAGCCCATACCCATCAGCTTAAAATAGATAAATATCCCAAGAAACCTAAATTAACACCCCTTCCTTAAGCCCCCCTTTTGCCAACATAGCAAGATCCATACCCTTCCAATAGAAAGCAATGTTAGAAGTAGTACTATGAGTCTATGATGATATCAGTAGCATCTTCACTTCTACCTGCAAAACAATATTATCTATTAAACAAATTAATTAAAAAATTAAAAAAATGATTCACAAGAACATATGTTTTACAGATATGGATAAACATTCCTTGAGCTCTCTAACAATGACATGAAACATAATTCATGCTTATTAGTAATATAGCTCTAAAGTAAAAATTGGTTTCCGATTTCATTAATACAACAGCAAAGTGTTAAGTCAGCAAGTGTAAATCTAACATTTCCTTAGGTGGGATAAGTTTAGGTTCCTGTTTTTAATATGATTATGAGTTATGGAAGCTTACATCCATTATAGTGATTAGAGAATCCGAAAGAAGAAGAGGTCACACTGATGCAACATCACTTATTAAAGTCAATCTGGAAGCCAAATCCCCCCAAGGTCTCAACCTGCAGGTTTTATATTTTTAACATACTTATTACGACATAATTACTTTAAACTATTGATTTTCTTTTTCAAATTATTAGGAAATAATTCAGTATGTCTGTTTATAAAACTCACCTGTGTAACAACAAAGTCCACAGAATCAACAATAAATGGTTCATGTGGACCATTTGGGATTCCTGTTATAACATATTGTTTCAACGGGAAAGAAGGGGTCTAACTAACAATGTTACATAAGGGTAAAATAGTCATTTACTCACAGTTCATTCAGTCCAAAAAAAACACTTTTGTGTATCATTGTATATAGAAAGTGTCCTTTTTTATGATACGTACACACAGGCCCAAGGCATTGCAGTTAAGATATATTTTGTATCCAAAAAATGCATTTGAAAGGATCAAAGACTTTACTCTTCTTGGCCTATGTTGAGCAAAAAGTAGTGCTAAAAATCCACCAAGTGATGTTCCATAAAGATGTATGTTAAAAAAAAGATTCATTACATAAATAAATAACAATAACATTAAAAATGGAATCGGATAATCTTACATGGTGGACATCAATAACATCTAAAAAATTCTCAAATGCTTGAACCCATTATTGATTGTTCCAAACACGAGGAATATCAACAGAAATCACTCGATAACCCTGAAAAAGAAACAAAACAAAAAAAAAAAAAAGATTTCTGAAAACTTTGTTATGAAAAAGAATCATTCAACTTGGTTTTTGTCTTTAACAATGTTAAAGTTGTTGTTACCTTCATGGAGAGTGTCATGATTTTTTTGTAGTAAACATTTGCTGTTCCAGCAGTTCCAGGATTCATAATATCTCTATTATTTTGTGCAAATCTGTAAAACTTATGTCAAAATTAATGTCCATATATGTTATTCTTATATCAATTTGGATGTAAAATCTAATATCAACATTTTTTCTGTTTATAGAACTTGCTATAAAGATTAATGCTTTATGCTTGTAAGTAATACACCAATCGGAAGCTACAAATTAGCCAATTTAATCTCAAAAGTTGAAGTATAGCTCCATTTTAATGTGAATCTCAATAATTTTAGGTTCATTGAGAGTAAACATCGAACGATTGATGTTGAATTGAAACTGTAAATACGGTTTAGACATAATGAAAGTAACAATTGATACCAACCAAACCATTGATTTATCGAATTGGGTAAGTCAATAGATGTATAATCAAGTGAAAGATCGACGAAATCTATGACCAGAAAAACTTACTGGGATCTTGCGGAGAGGGACTTGGGACTTGAAGTAGATGTAATCACCGGGTGCAGAAAACCCACCTTTCATTGCTAAATTTGATGATGATCGTGAAGAGGATGACTAAATTTGGTGGCCATTAACAGAGAGATTCATGTTATTAATTGTTGATCGTAGGTGGGTTGAGGTTGGGGTTAAATTTTAGGAATAACAAACAATAGAGAGAATGGTGTGCCAATGGATAGATATTTGCCTAGATTTTAGGAATAAACATTGACTCAAACCGGGGATTAAAGAGATCAGGTCAAACTTTTGGAAGAGATAAGATTTCAAAGGTAATCAGATTAAAATTTAATATTATTTTATTTATGATTAGTTGTACTTTACGCTTAGAGAGTTGAACGTCTTAAAAAATATTATTATTTTATTGGATCTATTTATAGAAATAGTAGGATTTTTTTTATAAGTTAGTAAAGAGATATATATACATATATATATATATATATATATATATATATATATATATATATATATATATATAAAAGCTTAGGTACCCAAACCCACTATAATAGATCGTTTTGTTTGATATATTCATTATAATGTTCTTAAACTTCAATCTCTAACTTTATTTACTTTCAAGATTTTCGAAATTTCATTATTAACTTACTCTTACGTCACATCTTTTTGTCTAACACCTACTAGGTTATATATTATAGTTGAAAATTAAAATTATGTAAGAGAAAGATAAATGTAAAATTTATAAAAATCTTGAAAGTAAAATCAAATTAGAAGTTAAATTATAAAAAGGTTTGACAATTACAATGTATATATAATACAAAACGACGTAGTATGATGAATTTTGTATTTAAGTTTATATACTCTTAAGGGGTATATATATATATATATATATATATATATATATATATATATATATATATATATATATATATATATATATATATATATTATATATTATATATATATATATATATATATTATATACGTGGAACTATGCAGTAACTCTAAACTAATTTCTATCTAAACATATTGTTTCCCTATCTTATTGTTTCATATTTGAACTTAGTTCATGTCCTTTTAAGTTATCATTATCTAATCCAGATATGTAATTATAATTAAACCATACACATTTTTACAAGTCAACTTAGTAATTTTATGTTGTATATTTTATCTTATATTATGTTATATAAATAATATTTGGAGCTATAGTATAAATTATTGTTTGTAGTGCTATTAACGATGATTTTTGTACAAGATATATTTATAAGTGGAAAAATATATTGATATGTGTAAATTAAAAATAATAATAATAATAATAATAATAATAATAATAATAATAATAATAATAATATAAGGATGCATGCGGTATACACTTTTTGCTAAAAGAAACTGGGTCAAAAGACGTCTAAACTCTAAAGTGTATTCAAATTAACACAATCTCTTAAATTGCTTTATTCACAAATTAGATTATAATGGTAGTTTTGGCATTCATATTATTTAGGATAATGCATAAAACACTAACATACTCCAATTGATTTATTTTTTATAAAATCCTACCTACATTTCTGTCTTATATATTTGTTGCATCTTTTTAAGCATTTTATCCCAATAAAAAAGAAATAAAAATATTATCGTGTAATTGAATAGATTTTTCCACATACGACATACAATGCATTTATAGAAAAAAGATATAATATTGTAATAAAAACAAATATAAATACGATGCTCTAATAGAACGAGCTAATGACATTTTAGATTTTTGGGGTGGGTAAACCGTTAACAGGGTAATTTGGGATGGGTCTATATGCAAAAATCAAACTTCATAGCAGCAGAGGTTGTGTACAAAAAAGCCCAAATGATCGACCCTGATGCAAACAAGGCCTGTAACTTGGGCCTCTGTCTAATGAAACAGGCCCGTGTCAAAGAGGCCCGACTCATCCTCTTTGACATTCTTAGCGGTAGGTTTCCCGGAGCTGACTACACCAAGGCTTGTGCCCGGGCTCAACAACTGTTGTCCGAGTTGGAGACATGGCGGCAACCGCCTTCTGGTTCACCGGAGAATCATCTGAGCTTGGATCTAGATGATGACTTTCTTGATGGGCTTGAAATACTAATAAACGAATGGGCTCCTTATAAATCAAAAAGGTTGCCTATATTTGAAGAAATTGAGAAATTTAGGGATCAATTAGCTTGTTAGAATTTTAGATTTTTTCTTTTATTCTTTTTGAATTTTGTTGAGGTGATATAATTGGGCATGATTGTGTGTATCGTTGTGTGAGAATTCATTTAATAAACATTTCATTAAAAAAAACATTTGTAATAAAAGAAACGTTTGTTTGGTTAAGCCAATGTGTAAATAAATGTAAGTATGTTATTATTATGGATAATAGAATAAAATGAATTATGTATATGCATGTTGAGAGTAAAGTATATTGTTATTTATTTATTTTTATAAATTTTGCTCTTAGAAACAACTCGATACACATTTCACTTCGTGGATAATGAACAAGAAAACTTGTAATTAATATATAAATGTGCATGTGGTTTATTTTTGTTATTATATGCGTGTTTTGTGCGGAGCGTTTGAGAGCTTCTAGCGTTTGACAAAACGTTTTGTTTTGAACAAAAAGTTCCTTTTGACATTACAAATTTTTAGCGTTTAGTTTAAACAAAACGTTCCAAATCTAAAAGTTATCTCACGTAACGTTTAACAAAACGTTATCCATTACTCGTCACCCGCTACCAGCTAGTTTTGCCAAACACGTCTTATATCCATTAAGTTATTTGTAAGAAAATAGCACTTTTGTAAGTAAGATTAAAAAAAAATGACTTTTCATCAAGTAAATTTTTTTTTTCTTTGACGAACACACCCTATATCTATTATGATCTTTGCCGAACATGCCCTATTCCTATTAAAACTTAAAAAACCATGACAATTAATCAACACCTAAGTTTATTCAAAGATAATAACATTGAACCGCTTGTAGGCAAAATTTATCTATATTTGAACTAAACAAAGAAAGTAGGGATTCACTCATTGCAAACACAACTTGAGGGACTACAACAAAATGGGGAAAGCTGGTAATGTTAAATGAATATATTTTTTTTAGTTAAGCCGTGTTTGCATGTTGTAGCTAGGAGTCTTATTGCTTGTGGTCAGTCTCATGACGGTCTTTTTGTGGTCCGTCTCATAACGGTTTAGTATTTTTTAGACATATCCCAAACGGTCTGAGGTTTGTGTTTTTTGGTTCAATCTCACAGTCTTTTCGTATGTCTTTATTGGTTCGGTATTCAATTTCTTCCTCCGGCTTTGATATTTTTTGGTTTTTGGGTTTCGTTTCCGTTAACAAATATGTGTTAACACCAAAATAATAAATTATGTTATAAAATATGATCAAATAACAAGATAAATTATAGAGTAAAGAAAGACATAAGAGTAGAGAGAACTTTTATTCCAATACTTGTGATGAAATCATCAAGTGCTTAATACATATGGCTCACTATTTATACTATCCAAATAAGATGAAAGATGAGCTATGATATGAATGCACATTATGATGGTGTATTATTACATTCGTAAAACACATTGAAATGTTTGTTACTAATGCTAAATAATGATGGGGAGTTATGGGAGAAATAGAGAATCCAATGGTCATTCACAAACTAATATTTCATAACACTCCCCCTTGAATGACGATTGTATCATGCCTCGTTAAAACCTTAATAGGTAAAACCTCATGGGAAAAACCATTTATTAAGGAAAAAGAGTACATGATTAATAATAGATATTTGGAACAATTGCCTCGTTAAAAACCTTACTAAGAAAACTCAGTGGGAAAAACATAGCTAAGGAAAAGAGTACAATATGTTTCCAACTCCCCCTGATCATCACATCACTTGATTTCCTTAAAGCGTCGCATTCCAATATTTCGTACCATGTTTTCAAATTTGAATGTAGGGAGCACTTTAGTGAACAAATCTGCCAAGTTGTTACTTGATTGAAATTTTTTTGGATGTTGATGTCACGCTCTTTTTGAAGATCATGACTAAAAAAACTTTGGTGATATATGTTTGGTTCTGTCTCCTTTGATAAACTCTTCCTTGAATTGGGCTATACAAGCCGCATTATCTTTATATAGTATGGTTGGAGCGTCCCTGTTAGAAGTTAGACCACAACTCTCACGAATGTGATGAGTTAAATTTCTTAACCAAATACATTCACGGCTTGCCTCATGAATTGCTATAATCTCTATTTGGGATCGAGCTTTGTGTGGATCAGACAAATATCCAACATCTCGAAGATATCGAAGAATGTTTTTGACTCCATTCCAATGTCTTCTTGTTGGGCAAGAACTATATCTTGCTAATAAGTTTACAGCAAAAGATATATCAGGTCTCGTATTATTAGCAAGATACATCAATGCACCAATAGCACTAAGATATGGTACTTCGGGACCAAGAAGTTTTTCATGTTTTTCACAAGGCCGAAACTGGTCCTTTTTGGCATCTAAATGCCTTACTACCATCGGGGGTACTCAATGGATGTGAGTTATCCATATAAAACTTTTTAAGCACCTTTTCTAGATAACTAAATTGATGTACAAAAACTCCATTTTTGGTGTGCTCAATTTGAAGACCCAAACAAAATTTCGTTTTACCAAGATATTTCATTTCAAATTTTTCTTTCAAACAAGAAGTGTCATTTTCCAATTCTCCAGAAGTTCCAATTATGTTCAAATCATCTACGTAAACAGCAATTATCACAAATTCTGATCCGGATCTTTTTATGAATACACATAGGCTTAATGGATCATTTTTATAGCCCTCTTTTAAAAGAAACGTACTTAAACAATTGAACCACATCCGGCCAGATTGTTTCAATCCATACAAAGATTTATTTAATTTTACCGAATATACTTCACGAGAATTAGGAGTTTGTGCTTCTGGCACCTTAAACCCTTCTGGGATTTTCGTATAAATATCATTCTCAAGTGAACCATATAAATAGGCGGTAACTACATCCATCAGACGCATCTCAAATTTTTCATGTGTTACTAGACTTATTAGATAACGGAATGTAATTGCATCAACCACAGGAGAGTATGTTTCTTCATAATCAATTTCAGGTCTTGGGGTAAAACCTTGTGCAACAAGTATTGCTTTATATCTCACAACTTCATTTTTCTCGTTTCTTTTGCGCACAAATACCCATTCGTGTCCCACTGTTCTTACTCTGTTTGGTGTACGGACTACAGGTCCAAAAACTTTTCGTTGAGTAATAGAATTAAGCTCTTTATTTATTTCATCTTTCCATTTTAGCCAATATTTTCTATTCATACATTACTCAATAGATTTAGATTCAAGATCCTCATTTTCTTTATAATCGCGCACGGAACATGATATGAAAAATTATCGTCGACATCCATCTTATTTTTTGTCATGAAATAATTTATTGAGATCTCATTATTTTCATTTTTTTTTCAGGTACCTCAGTTTCTTTTGTTATGTCATTGGGCTCTTCTGGAGCTTCATTAATCTTTTCAAAAGACTATGTTTTCTCTTTTGGACCATCAATTATATTTGCTTCATTTCATTTCGATGATTTTTATCTTTGGAACCTACTGATCTTCCACGCTTCAGGCGTGCCTAAGATTCATTTGTAGTTGTATTTTTTTTCCTTCTGGGATATCAATTCTAACTTGAGTAAGTATAGCTGGTACATGAGACTTTGTTACCCACTTAGGGTCAGTAAATGCTTCTGGAAATTGATTTGCTACATTTTGTAAATGAATTATCTTTTTTATTTCAAGTTCACATTGACTTGAACAAGGATCTAAAAATGAAAGTGACAATTCCTTTCAAGAGATTTTATTTTCCAGCTTCTTTATTTCTCCCCCTAATGTTGGAAAATATGATTCATCAAAATAATAATCATCAAATATAGCTGTAAATAAATCTCCAATTGATGATTTTAAATATTTTACTATAGATGGAGATTCATATCAAACATAAATTTTCATTCTTCTTGAGGACCCATTTTTGTGAAGTGAGGTGGAGAAATGGGTACATAAATTATACATCCAAACATCCTTGGATGGTAAATAATTGGTTACTGACTGCAAACCAGTTGAATAGGGGAGAACTCATGATAACTAGTTGTCATTATGCATATAAGTGATGTTGCATGTAAAATTGCATGTCCCCATGTCGATGTAGGAAGTTTAGAATGCATTAGTAATGGTCTTGCAATTAATTGAAGGCGTTTGATTAACAACTCAGCTAAACCATTTTGTGTATGAACATATGCAACACGATGTTCAATAGTTGTCCTAATCGACATGGAATAATCATTAAAAGCTTATGATGTAAATTCTCCAACATTGTCAAGTCAAATTTCCATAATTGGGTAATCGAGAAAATGTGCCCTTAGGCAGATTATTTGTGCTAGTAATCTTGCGAAAGCGAGATTACGGCTAGATAACAAGCACACGTGTGACCATCTAGTTGACGCGTCAATTAAGACCATAAAATATCTAAATGGTCCACATGGTGGATGAATTGGTCCACATATATCCCCTTGAATTCTTTCTAAAAAAACTAGGACTTTCATACCCAACTTTATTCAATGATGGACGGGAAATTAATTTTCCTTGAGAACATGCAACACAAGACAATTCATTAGCTTGAAAAATCTTCTGGTTTTTCAAGGAATGTCCACTTGAACTTTCAATTATTTTGCGCATCATAACTAATCTGGGATGGCCCAACCGGTCATGCCAAACTTTGTAGATGTTATTATACCTTTTATTTTCAATAACATGAGATCCAATCATTCTAATATTTGTATAATACAATCCGGAGGACAATACGAGTAATTTTTCCAAAAGATTTTTCTTACCCGATATCATTTTTCTAATATTGAGATACTCTTTACCACCATCATTGGTTGTTTCAACATGATATCCGTTGGACCGAATATCCTTAAAACTTAATAAATTTCTTGATGATTTTAATGAAAATAATGCATCATCAATTGTAATTATTGTCACTTGTGGTAATACTATATTCGCTCTTCCGGAGCCTTCAATCTTGGTGATTTAGAGGAAAATAATGCATCACTAATTTATAATTAGTGTCCCTTGTTGTAATATTATATTCGCTCTTCCGGAGCCTTCAATCATTTTTGCATTACCTGTT